TCCGGCCACCGCAGCCTTGACTTGCTGGGCTCCGGCGATTCTTTCCGCCTCAGCCTCCGAGTAGCCGGAATTACAGGCATGCGCTACCACGCCCGGCTGATTTTTTGATTGATTGTAGAGATGAGGTCTCGCTGCCCAGGCGGGTCTCGAACCCGCGGGCTCAGGCAATCCACTCACCTCAGCCTCCCAAAGGCGCGGGATGACAGGCTGAGCCACCGAGCCCGGCCATGATTATATCTTGATTTAAATTGTATGATTTTGATTTAGATTTTGATTTATATTTCATGATTATATCTTGATTTTTTTTTTAATGGTGAGAACCTAGGAGAAGGACATTTCCCCAAGAACAGGGACACAGCGACCAGGAGAAATCACTGGTACATGCGGAGGCCAGGCCAGGGATGATGCATGTCAACAAAGACCCTCAGAGCCTTTGATCTTCCTTTGCTGGGGGCGGGGTCCTCGCCTGCTGCCTGCCTTGGACCTCAGGGCCAACAGCAACCTGAAGAAAGGCCATCATTGTCTTAGATATGAGGAGTTCCAGGCTTCCAAAGGAAATAAAACCTAAGTAGATAAAATGAAAGTCTGTTTTAAAAAGCAAGCATGAGCTGGCAGTGAGAAAGTATAGGGAGTAAGCGTAGACTTGTTTTGTATGTAAGTGACAAATGAAGTCCTCAACCAGGTTGAAGATAGGATTCTTTTCTAGGGTTACCTTCAGGGCAACCTAAGCAGTTTGGTGGGTTTCTTTTTTTTTTTTTAGTTTTGGTTTTTTTCCCCAGTAGAGGAGAAGGAGGAAATTAATAAAGAAAACTTAATAATGCTAGAATAAAAATGGAAAATAAAAGGAATATGAATGAAGGCTGCCATGTAAGACTGTGCTGGTTGTGTAATAGTCAACTCTAGGAGGAGCTGTACACACCAGGGTCTAGATGCATGGCATCGCTAGAGATGTGCAATGCACAGTGCTCATCTCAGCAATAGAGGAGCCTTCTCTTTTGAGACTGAAGCCTTTGAAGAGGGGGAGGAAGACATAGAGACACAGAGGCACAGTGAAGGCAGTTCAGGAGCTCATGTCTGAGACCCTTTACTTTGTCCTTTAAGTAAGAGGAGAGATTCCCTTTTGGGTTAAGAGAAGAGTACACATTTGTGGGAGGTCAAAAATGTCTGGAACAGCTGATGAGACAGGAGGTTGAGAACACTAAGCGTCTCTCTGAGGCCAGATGACTTGAATTTCTAGTGGATTTGATTGCCACCACTTTATAACTTTCTCCATCACCTTGGGGGTGGGAGATGGGCTTGCAGACTGTGGCAATCACCCAGGGCCAGAAACCTGAAAGCTGGAAGGAGACATCCAAGGAGCACAACATCCTAAGGGGATGGTGGATAGGGCTGAGTAGGAAGGCTACTGGGTCTGTAGTGTCCGCATTTATCTGGGGATCCATTCTTAGGAGGTGCCGGGGCTGACATGGTATAAACGTTCTCAGAGCTCAGCAGAGTGCAGACAAGACTGGTGACCACAGCAAGCTGGCTAAGTGACGGGGCAAGGACAGAGAGGGGCCAGTAAGGACTCAGCACGAATCTAGGGTGTCCAGAAGAAGAGAGTTTGGGGTCTGAGACAGAGCCCCTGGGCCAGGGTAGAGGCCACTTGTGTGAAAGGACAACACTGCATGGACTGAGGGAGAGAGAGTGACAAGAGGAACCCCTGGAGACAGCGTGGGCAACAGGTCTTCAGTCAAGGCTCTAGAGCTTGGAGTGTGTCGTACTTGTCACGTCCACCAATATAGTACCTCTTCTTGTGCTTGGCAAACATTTCGTTATTCTTTGTTTTGGTTACTTTCCCTGCTGTCACCATGATAAACACAGATTTCTACAGTTACTCATTAACGTCTAGCTGAGTATATAGCAACATTCTCACGCCTCGGCTACCTCTACATGAAATATTTCTTCCTGAATTTTATCATTCAAAGAAGAGTCTTGTGGTGATAGTCTTTTTGGAGAGATGTTGTCTGATCCCAAGGAAAGTTTGAATTGGTACAATTTATTCATTTATCTGACAAATCCTTTGTGAGGTCCCAACCTTGGCAGAGCACTGCTAGGAACAGAGCTGAAGCTGCAGGAGGCAAATAGCAAAGAAATAAATGGGGGCGAGGCACAGTGGTTCACACTTGTCATTCCAGCACTTTGGGAGGCTGAGGCAGGAGGATTGCTTGAGCCCAGGAGTTCACGACCAAGCTGATCAACATAGTGAGACCCCGTCTTGAAGAAGAAGGAAAAGGAGGAGGAGAAGGAAGAAGGAAGAAGAAATTAGAAGGTGTCTCAGCCAGGGAGAACCAGTGCCGTACAGGAATGTCAGGGTAGAGTGGTGTCAGGAAAGATCCCAAGGAAATGCCAACAGGGCAGACTTTGACAAGGTGAGAAACACCTTGAGGGTGCAGGACTTGCTCTGGCTATTTTAAAACCCAGGTATTGTGGGAAAAGCTTCTAGAGCCCAAGGGAAGGAAAGGCCCAAGCAAGGCAGGTAACTGGTGTGCTCAGGACTTGCCAGGGCACTGGAGAAGAAAGGACAGAGAGTGGGTGGCAATCAGGCCAGAGAACAGCATGCCCTGAATGAGAGGCTGTAGCCCTGCCCTCACAGACCTCACAGGTCCTCCGAAAAAAACAGCAGAGAGAAGTATACAAGGAGGGAGGGAAGGGGCTTGGGAACACAGGGTACTGACCCCAAGCGGGAATGAGGGACAGACAGCTTTCTGTGCGATGATCTGAGGGTGAACAGTTGCCAGGAGAGGAGTTAGGAGGAGAGGAGTGGGGAAAGGTGAGGGGGGGTTCCAGGAGCAGCAGTGTGCGGGGAGAAGCCTGAGGTGAGGGGAATGTGGCGTCTGTAGCCGCCAAGGGAGGGGACAGTGACACAGTCACAGGGGCCTTCTCACAGCCAGCACACCCGGCCTCCTCTTCCTCATAGCGGACCAGGTTGATTTTGATCAGGTGATGATGTTCCTGGCCCAGGTGAAAACCTGTGACTCTATACGCCTATCAAAATCATCCATTCCTCTATTTTTCTGGAGTGTGACCTTTTCACCTCCCTGGCAGCTGGGACAGCTGCGGGACCAGCTCTGGAAAGTGGAGTGTAGCCGTTACCTGCAGTGGGCTCCGTGAGAGCACCTGGACTTCCCTGGGCAGGGGGGAGGGGTGTAAAAGGAGGGTCCTGTACCTGCATCTCCATCTGCTTTGGAGACAGGAGCAGGGATACTACCGGGATGAAGAAAAGCCAATATCCTAAGAATAAAGTTGCAGAAATAAAGGTGGGCCTCTGACGACACTGCTGAGTTGCTCAGCAAAACCTGAGCCTGTCTGCCTCTGGAATTCTGTGAGTGTCAGCCACTCGGCAGGGACTGTCACCCACAACCCTGGTCCCTGTGGGAGGGCATCGCTCTCCTCTGGGGGGAGTGGCTTGCTCTTCTTTGTGGCACCCATCTGGAGGGTGCAGGACTTGCTCTGGCTATTTTAACATCATTTCTATTACATTCTCTAGCGATCTCCTCTTTCCTAAGCAGTGAAGAACCATCAGGTTTTTGATCATTAGGAAATTCTTGGCATCCTAGTTATCTGCTCTTCTTTTCAAAATGATTAACTAATCAAGAAAAAGTGTAATTTCTGTCTTATGAAAATAGTCTTGGAATAACTTCAGGCTTTTAAAATCATGTCGGCATTCCTGCAGATCTGATAAAGTTGTGAGCGCATATATCTTACCACTGTGATGTCAGAGTAGAAAATACATCATCTCTCTCAGACTCCTGGAATAACTTCAAAAGTTCTGGATCCCCAGATAAATGTGCAAGAATGCACAATTTGATGTGTGAAAAGTCTGTTGGATAGAGTTTTGCATTAATTCAGAATTCAACAACGATTCTCTCATTGTTGCCACCTACCCCTCGCCTCAGACTTCCCCCTCGATGGCCTCAGGGTCCATATCCCTACCTCCTGGCTGTCCAGGTATTCTGGCCTCAGGGCCACTGGCCATTCCCTAGGTCTGCAAGCCCTCCACTACCTCCTGTGAGGCCAGCAATGCCTCCGGAGTGGGCGATATTCATTCATTTGTTCTTTCGTTCTATATATCAAAATTTTAGGGCCTATGTGTGCCAGGCACTGTGCTTGGAATATGGCAGCGAACAACACAGAAAAAATTCCCTTACTCCATGCAGGTTACATTCTGGAAGGGAGAGAGAAGCAATCTGAATAAATTATTTGGTTTGTCAGAAGGTGAGAAATGAAATGAAAAAGATCGATCAAGGGAAAGAGGTTTGGAAGTGTGCTTGTGTGTGTGTGTGTGTGTGTGTGTGTGTGTGTGTGTGTGTGTAGGGACGTTTCTATTATAAGGTAGTCAGTTACCCTATCTGTAGGCCTCATCAAGAAGTGGCATTGAACAAAAGCAAGGAGGAGGCAAAGGAGGGTGCCAAGACGGTGTCTGGGGAAAAGAAACCGCCTAGGCAGTTGAGGTGGAGCTGGCTGTGTGCTGGAGGAGCAGAGCCTGGTGGGACCACGGCGAGTGAGCAGAGCAGAGGGGAGGACCATGGAAGAGGCAATGAGAACAGGGAGGAGGAGGGTAGATTGAGTGGGACCATGCAGAGGCATCTGGGATTTAGATGTGGTAAGGCCAGGGGACCCTGGAAGCAAAAAAGCTGTTATTATTTACTGTGCATAAGAAATCTTTGTTTCATAACACTATTTGCCTTAGAATTTATTTATTTTTAATTATTATTTTTATTTTTTATAGAGAGGAGGTCTCACTGTGTTGTCCAGGTTGGTCTTGAACTCCCAGGCTCAAGTAAGTCTCCAGCCTCGGCTTCCCAAAGTGTTGGGATTCCAGGTGTGAGCCTGGCCTGCCTAGGGATTTGTTTTTTAAAATGGGTTCTTTAAGGACCTTTGAATTATTCAATTTCTAAATATTGGAGCTGTATGAAAATGCATAAATGACACCTGCGTCTCTCTACCATTGCCTGCACGTACGAGGGTGTGTCCTTTTAATGAAACAAACATAGCCCTCCATACTCTTTACCTGAATTGTTATTTCAGGAGCACTTAGTGAATTTGGTCACAAGTGAACTCAGAGCTATTCCTTATATAAAATTATTTTAATATCATTCTAAAATCAAGAGACTGTATTTTTAATTTTTCTGAATATTTTTATTGATGCAATTTAAAAATAATACATTCCTACCAAAAAGTTAACTAGATTTTCTGTTATAAAATTTTCTGTTCTGTCTAGAATTGCTTTTTAAAATTATTTTTGGAAATTATTTTCTTAAATAGAGATGAGTGACTCACTATGTTGCCAAGGCTGGTCTCAAATTCCCCTGGCCTCACTTGACCCTCCCATCTTGGCCTCCCAAAGTGCATTACAAGCATGAGCTACCATGCCTGTCTTACTTGGATTTATTTTTTAATGTTTTTAATTTTAAAACACTTTTTTTGGTAGAGATGAGATCTAGCTATGTTGCTCATGCAGGTCTCGAATTCCTAGGCTCAAGCAATCCTCCCACCTTGGCCTCCCAAAGTGCTGGGATTACAGGCATAAACCACCATGCCTGACGTCACCTATCTAGATTTCTTTTTTTTTTTTTTTGAGTTGGAGTCTCACTCTGTTGCCCAGCCTGGAGTGCAGTGACACACTCACGGCCACCCTAGAATTGATCTGCTGGGCTCAGGCAATCCTTCCTCCTCAGCCTTCCAAGTAGCTGGGATTACAGGCATGTACCACCATGCCTGGCAATT